ATGTGCTCAAGACCTTGATAACTGATTGGGTTCCTCTCAAGGATTACATTAATTATTTATACAGTTTATAATGGAATATTATTAGACATTGTCACTCACATCACTTACCTCCTGATTATAGAATGTATAAACTGGAGAATTTCAGTTGAGGTAATTTCTGTATGTGTGTTGCTGTGTATGTATTTCTGTCTGTCTCTGTGTGTCCAAGCCACTGACTCTATGTGCACATCTGTTTTTGTTTATTCATTCATGGGATGTGAGTGTCATTGGTGAGGTCAGCATTTATTGCCCATTGCTAATCACCCGGAAGGCACGTAAGAGTTTAACACTTTGCTGTGGGTCTGAAGTCACCTGTAGGCCAGACCAGGTGATGATGGCAAATTTCCTTCCCTAAATGACATGTATCTTTCTGCGTGTACAGAATGTGTGCGCATATATCTGCGTGTGCATCCATCTGTACCTGTGTGCACATCTCTGTCTGTGTGCATACTGTACCTGTGAGTGTGTCTGTGTGCATACTTCTTTTGGTGCACGTCTGTATCTATGTGCGCACTTCTGTGTCTGTGTGTGTCTGTGTCTGCTTGTGTTTATGTGCATGCATTTCTGTTTGTGTGAGTGCACATCTGTCTGCTTGTGCATGTCTCCGAGTGTGCAAGTCTCTACCTGTGTGTGTGCATCGTTTTCAGTATGCACACATCCCTATCTGTGTGCGTGCCTCTCTGTCTGTGTGTGCTTGTCTCTATATCCAAATGCATCTTTCTATGCACATGTCTCCACTGTCAAGGGTGCTATCCTTTCAATAAGACTTTAAAAAAAGGTCCCACTTGCTCTCTCAGGTGAACATAACAAATCCTTAAGCCACAGTATGTGAACAAGAGCAGGGGAGATGCGTCCTCATATACTGGCCGATAATGAATTATCTGTCAGCCATCTGGTCACTAACTCAACAGCTGTTTGTAGAAACTGACTGCACACAATTGGCTATTACCTTTTCTACCTAATAACAATGATTACACTTCAAGTATAGTTAACTAGCTAAAGCACTTTCAGACGTCACAAAAGGTGTTGTATAAATGCAAACTCTTTCTTTCATTACAAGAATGATCATTTTTTAATATAAGAGAATATGCCTGGATCTGTACCTTTGCAACAGTTACTATTTTTAGGAAGCAAGCATTGCAGAGGTCAGGTAGGACCGAAAAGCAGAAATGCTTTACTTAGCTTTCTTAAATAAGCCAGCTTGACTTCTACAAGAAGGACCCTGCAGTGTGAATGAACGAAGGTTAATGTGTTTGATGTCATCTATGTCTAAAGATGTAGTGGGGAAGACTATTTTTAGAACAAGCATTTCCTTTCTACTACAACAGGAGCACAACTCTGAGAAGCCTTGAACAGTAGAGCCTCTCAGGAACATCTGTGATTTTTGATCATTTTGAAACAATAAGGCCAGATCATCTCAAGATGCTGAAGAAAGGTAATACCCAAAACGTTGACTGCTCCTTTCCTCCAGATGCTGCCTGGCTTGCTGTGTTAGTCCAGCCTCCTGCCTACCTTGGATTCCAGCATATGCAGTCTTTTTTGTCTCATCTCAAGGTGCCTCCCTGCTTCAATATTCCACTTGAGCTCATAGCTGGACTGCACGTGCAGCCACATTACACTCCTAGTTAAGGCCAGCTATCTGTATGGTTTAATGTGCTGTTGGCAAGATCATTTTCTTCATTCTCACATGGGATGTGGAAAATACTGGCTGGACAGCATTTACTGCCCGTCCCAACCCTAATTGTCCTCGAGGTGGTGATGAGCTGCCATCTTGAACCGTTGCAGTCTGTGTGCTGTAGGTAGACCCACAATGCCATTATGAAGGGAGTTCCAGGATTTTGACTCTCCAACAGTGAAGGAAGGGCAATATATTTCCAAGTCAGGACAATGAGTGGCTTGGTTGGGAACTTGCAGGGGTGGTGTCATATGTATCTTCTGTGCTTGGCCTTTTAGACTGGGTTTGGAAGGTGCTGTCTAAGGATGTTTGGTGAATTTCTGCAGTTCATCTTGCCAATGGTATGCATTGCTGTTACTGAGCATCAGTGGTGGATGCTTGTCCATGTAGTGCCAGTCAAATGGCTGCTATGTTCTAGATAGTGTCAAGCTTCTTCAGTGTTGTTTGAGTTGCACTCAACCAGGCAAGTGGTGAATATTTCATCACACTCTTGACTTTTGCCTTGTAGATGGGTGGACAGGTTTTGGGGAATCAGGAGTTGTGTTACTCACTACAGGATTCCTAACCTCTGACTTCCTCTTGTAGCCACTGTGTTTATCTTGCAAATCCAGATGAGTTTCTGGTCAATGCTAACCCGAAGGATGTTGACAATGTGATTAACACTGCTAATGTCAAGGGGCAGTGGTTGGATTGTCTCTTATTGGATTTGGTCATTGTCTGGCATTTGTGCAGCATGAATTTAACTTGCCACTTATCAGCCCAAATCTCAATATTTTTCAAGTCTTGTTGCATTTGAATATGGACTGCTTCAGTGTTTGAGGAGTTGCAAATGGTGCTAAACATTGTGTAATCATTGGCAAATATCCCTTATCTTTTGACCTTGTGGTGGAGGGAAGGTCATTGATGACACAGTTGAAGATGGTTGGGCCTAGGACACTACCCTGAGGAACTCCTGCAGAGATATCCTGGAGTGTGAGATCACTGACTTCCAACAACCATAACCATCTTCCTATTTGCCAGGATTGATTGCAACCAATGGATAGTTTGCCCCTGATAACTATTGATTCCAGTTTTGCTACGGCTCCTTGATGACACACTTTGTTGAATGCAGCCTTGATATCAAGGGCTGTCACTCTCACTTCACTCTCATCTCTTTTGTCCATGTTTGAACTGAGGTTATATTGAGGTTGGGAGCTGGGTGGCCCTGGTGGAACTCAAACTGGGCAACACTGAGCAGGTTATTTCTGAGTAGGTGTTGCTTGATAGCAATGTTGATGACACCTTCCATCTCTTTTGATGATCGAGAGTAAAGTGCTCGTGAGGTAATTGGTTGGGTTGAATTTATCCTGCTTTTTGTGTACAGAACATACCCGGGTAGAAAATTGTCAAGTAGATGTTATAGCTGTACTGGAATAGCTTGGCTAGGACAGCAGCAAGTTCTGGAGCACAAGTCTTCAGTTCTATTTGGAGACAGTAAGGACTGCAGATGCTGGAAGCTAGAGTCAATAAATGTAGAGCTGGAAAAGCACAGCAAGTCAGACAGCAACCGAGGAGCAGGAATGTCAATGTTTTGGGATGAAAAGTTGACTTCCCTACTCCTCGGAAGCTGTCTGACCTACTGTGCTATTCTAGCTCTACAGTTCTAATGCTGTCAGGGCTCATAGCCTTTGCAGAATCCAATGCCTCCAATCATTTCCTGGTATCACCTGGAGTGAATCAAATTGGCTAAAGACTGGTACCTGTGATACTGGGGACCTCTGCAGGAGGCCAAGATGGATCATTCATGTGCACTTCTGGCTGTAGATTATTGTGAATGGTAAGATACAAAGATGGATTGGCCATCAGTAGGGATATCAAGGTTTGCAGGGAAAACACAGGAAAGTGGACGTGAGGGATATCGGATCAATCGTGATCTGATTGAATGGTAGAGTAGGCTTAAGGACCAAACAGCCTACTTCCCTTCCTATTACTTACGGTATTATGGGCACCTCATTTTTATTGTGACTGGTGCTGCTCCTGGCATGCCCTCCTGCACTCTCCATTGAACCAAGATTGATCCCCTGGCTTGATGGTAATGGTTGAGTGGGGGATATGCAAGGTCATAAAGTTGCAGATTGTGCTGGAGTACAGTTCTGCTGCTGTTGATGGCCCAGAGTGCCTCATCGATACTGAGTCTCGAATTGCTAGATCTGTTATAGATCCTTGTCTCCACAAAGACTGTGTGGTGGTCACTCTTACCAATACTGTCATGGACAGATACATATGATTGAGACAACAAGGTGTATGTTTTTCCCTCTTGGTCGTTGCCTCACCACCTGCTGCCAGGTGGTGCCGAGACCCAGTCTTGGTGGTGAACATTGAAATCCCCCACCAAGAGTTCCTTTCATGCACTGCCACCTTCAGTACTTCCTCGAAGCGTTGTTCAACATGGGGAAGTATTGATTCAATTGGCTGAGGGGCTGTGGTATGGTCCAGAGATTTCCTTGCCTATGTTTAACCTGATGCCATGAGGTTTCACGGGGTCCAGCATCAATGCTGAGGACTCCCAGAGCAACTCCTTCCTGACTGTATACCACTGTACTGCAACCTCTCCTGGGTCTGTCCTGCTGACATATCCAGGAATGGTGATGGTGGTGTCTGGGACATTGTCTGTCAGGTAATTATTTTGTGAGTATGACCATGGTTGGTGCTTGACTAGTGTGTGAGACAGCTCTCCCCAACATGCTATACTAGCCCCCAGATGTCAACAAGGCTGTTTTTGCCACCTAGGTCGATGCTAGGTGTTCCTCCAATTTCATTTCTTTGTTGTGACTCTGTAGTGATTGATACAATTGAGTGCCTTGCTCAGGCCATTTGAGAGGGTAGCTGAGAGTCAACCACATAGCTGTGGGTCTGGAGTCACATCTACCGCAGACCAGGTAAGGATGGAAGATTTTGTTCCCTCAGCGACGTTAGTGAACCAGGTGGGACTTTGCCCCCAGAATCATTTTTAATGGAATTTAAATTCCAACATTTACTCTGGTGGGATTTGAACCTGGGTCCCCAGAACATTAGCTAAGTTTCTGGATTAATAGTCTAGTGATAATACCACTAGGCCTTCAACTCTCCCTATCCCCAGATCTATATCACATTGCCTCAAATCATATTCCTCCCAAACATGCAAACTCTTTTGATACACATGAATAAAGGCAAAATACTGCAGAAGTTGTAAATCTGAAACGTACACTGACCCACCTTGACCCTTGGGGAAGGTCGAATACAAGTAATGTGATTGTTCCATACTGACCTGTTGTACCCATTCAGGGAAAAAGCTCCCTGTGGAGAGGCCGCAGTGCTGGATTTGAAGTAATAAATACAGCCCTTGTGAATGATAACAAATCGCAGTGGCCCTGCAACCATAAATAGAATTGATTTTAGACCAGTAAAAACAGGTCCTGGAATAAAGTAAGGAAGCTAGGGAACCTTATAAACAGAGAAGACAAGTCATAGTCATAGAGTCATACAGCATAGAAACAGGTCCTTCGATCCACCATGTCTCTGATAACCAACAAAAACCAACTACACTAATCCCATCTACCTGCACTTCGTCCATAGCCTACTGTGCCCTGGCATTTTAAGTGCGTGTCCACGTTTCTTAAATGTTATGAGAGTATCTGCCTTCACCACCATGTCAGGCAGAACATTCCATATATCTCCCACCCTCCGAGTGAAAACATTCTTCCTCAGATTCCCTCTAAATCACTTACTCTTCACCTTAAATCAATGCCTTCTGGTCTTAGATAACAAGGTGTATAGCTGGATGAACACAGCAGGCCAAGCAGCATCAGAGGAGCAGGAAGGCTGACGTTTTGGGCCTAGACCCTGGCCTTAGATACTTCTGCCAATGGGGAAAAGATTTTCATGATTTATTCTACCTAAGCTTCTCAATTTTGAATGCCTTAATCAGATTCCCTCTCAGCCTCTTCTACTCTAAGAAAAACAAACCCAGCCTTTTCAATCTCTCCTCATAACTAAGTCTTCCCATCCCAGGCAATATCCTGGTGGATCTTCTCTGTACCCTCTCCAGTGCAAATATGTTCTTACAATAGTGTCGTGACTAGAATTGTACACAGTATTCCATCTATGACCTAATCAATGCTCTTTAAAGTTGCAACAAGACCCTGCTCCTATATTCTGCACCCTGGCTAATGAAGACAAACATCCTGAATGGCTTCTTCATCACCCTATCTATCTGTGCTGACATCTTCAGGGATCTATAGACTTGTACATCAAAGTCACCTTGTTCCCAAGTACTCCAAAGGCCAATCAGGGAGCCCTGGCTGACAGATATAAACAGGAGTCTCAGAGAGTCTCTCACTCTGGGGACTGGCTCTGAGCTAGGTGGTCAGAGTTCATGTACTGTTCACGTGTAAATAAAGAGTGACATGGTGACAGGATACTGGCCTCTATGCAGTTATTTTACATCCCCTTATTAGACCTCCCAAAATACATCACCTCACACTTCGCAGGATTACATTCCTTCTGCCATTGCTCTGTCCAATTTAGCAGCTAATCAGTATCAGACTGTAGCCTGAGACTGTTGTCCCCACGATCAACAATGCCACCAATTTTCATGTCATCTGCAATCTTCGGAACATCAGAACACAGGAGCAAGAGTAGGTCATTCAGCCCATCAAGCCTGCTCTACCATTCAATAAGATCATGACTGATCTGTGACCTAACTCCATATGACTACCTTGGGCCCATATTGTTAATTAAAAATTTGTCTAATTAAATTTAACAACTGAATAAGCATCAACTGCTATTAGAGGAAGAGAGTTCCAAACCTCCATTTCTTGTGTGTAGAAGTACTTTCTAACATCTCTGCTGAATGGCCTGGCCTATTTCACAGACTATGCTCCCTCGTTCTAGCATCTTCAGCAGAGGAAATAGTTTATCTTTATCTACCCCTCTTTCTCTGTTAATATCCTGAAGAGACTTACTAATTAAACCTTCTACATTCACATCCAAGTCTTTCATGTACATATCAAACAGCAAGGGTCCCAGCACCGAGCCATGTATTACATGCTGGTCAGAGGCTTCCAATCACTAAAGCAACTATCCAACATCATCTTTTGCCTCCCATTTGGAAGCCAATTCTGAATCCAGTTTTGTAACTTGCCATGGATCCCATGGGCTCTTACCTTTTTGATTAGCCTTCCATGTGGAACCTTGTCAAAAATCTTAGTGAAGGCCATGTAAACCACATCAACTGCACTACCATCATCAATATAGTCAGTCACCTTTTCAAAAATTAAACTAAATTAGTCAGACAGAATCTCCCTCTAACAAATCCATGCTGACCATCCCTGCCTTTCAAAGTATTGATTAATCCTGTCCCTCAGAATTCTTTCTAATAATATTCCCACCACTGACATCAGACTAACTGGTCTGTAATAACCTGGTCTATCCCTGCTATCCCTCTTGAACAAAGGAACCACATTAGATAGAGATAACAAGGTGTAGAGCTGGATGAACACAGCAGGCCGAGCAGCATCAGAGGAGTAGGAAAGCTGACATTTCGGGCCTAGACCCTTCTTCAGAAAAGGATAGGGTTAGGGTTAAGTTAATCTAGCACTTCACCTATGGCCAGCAAAGTATTAAATATCTCTTACAGGGGCCCAGCAATCTCCTCCCTTGCCTGCAATGTCAACCTAGGATACATTTCACAAGGACCTGGGGCATTGTGCATCTACCTTATTAATCTTAACCTGTTCTAGAATCACACCATCCAAACTGAAATTTCCAGCCAAAATGTCTTTTTCCTCTGTGAATACAGATGAGAAGTGTTCACTTAAGACCTCACCCACGTCCACTGGCTCCACGCACAGGTTGCCCCTTTGGTTTCTGATAGGTCCCATGCTTTCCCTGATATTCCTCTCACTCTTAATAATACTCATAAAAAGCCTTGGACTTTTCCATAATCCTATCTGCCAAAGATATTTTGTGCCCCTTCTTTGCCCTCCTAATTCCTTTTTTAAGTATCTTCCTACACTATGCATTGCTGAAGGGCCTTCTGTGTTTTAAACACTCTGCACCTAACATATGCTTTCTTCTTTTTCTTTATCAAACTCTCGATATCCCTTGATGCCTAGGGTCCCTGGACTTGCTGCCCTTGCCTTTCTGTGCCGCCATCTTCTATGATTCTACATAATTTTGGAAATAAATGTAGAAGTATTTGGATGTCCCACTTCCTTGGTGTGGAAGAGTAGCCAAAGACCAGGCTTCACCCCATAGGTAGGCAGAGAAATTGGAGATTTGACCGAGTTTAAACTTTCATAGCAGCTGCTTTCAAAATGACTGACAGAGTTGGAAGTTATGTGTCCTTCTGTCCTTCCTAACACAATGTGTGATGTCAGGAATTCAAGAAAGGGGAAGAAGACCAAAATAGACCAACGGTGTAAAAAAATCTGACACTGTGACTCAATGCAGCAACAGGCAGGAAGTGCCTTTTCTGTGCTAAGCAATCCCAGTCATGGTTAGCCACAGCATTACTCCTGTTAGAGTGTGGGAGACAAGAGCGGGCTGAATTTTATCTCCCCGCTTCCCCAATAGCTTTTGGACAAACCAGTGTTGCCCAGGTTCAGGGAATGTGGCTGTGTAGTGTGTAACCACTGAGATTGTCAGTATCTTTGATCTACACTGTCCAGATTCCAGGAGACGAAAAGTGGACCGTATTGATAGAAGTAGACATTTCTTCTTCCACAAATAATTTACAATCATGGACAAGTGAAAATAATTTTATTCAACTACTGACCCCTCCTACCATACTCTAACATTCGGGTGAGATATTAAACTAAGATTCCAGCCTGCTCTCTCGGCAGAATTTAACAGAATCTAGGGCTGCTATTATGAAGACAAGGAGCCAAATTCTCCCTATTTGTTGGCCAATATTTATCACATGTTTGTATCTACCTAATTTTCTATATGCAATTCAGAACATGTACAAATACCAAAACCCTGCATTTCTTAAAATGTCCTGGACATAGTAAAGTATTCTGAAGGGCTTCACAGAGATATCAGATAAGCAGTCAGAGGATGTGTTTACAAGTGCAATGGAAGGGAAATTAGAGGAAACTGACACTGGGTGGGGAGGAAAGAGGCTCTGAACCTGATATCAGCGGAAGGAGCTTGTGAAGAACTTGGTTTGGTAAACCCGAAACAACAAACTGTGTGATTGACAAACTTACACTTCATGATCTTCCACTGGGATCCTCCTTTCTTATGGAGGTAGCCAGATTGTGTAACTCCTCCTGGCATGGTGAGAAGGTTCTGAGCCCCAATCGCTCGCATTGGGACTGGCCAATTTTCCTCTACTCCAGTGGCCATTGTGCTGAAACAAAATATTAAAAATTGCTAATTATGTATTAAATTCAAACAGCCCCAAACATGATAATTTCATTACTGTAACTTAGTACAGTACCAAATAGTTATTTAAATAGGCTCGAGTCTTCATTGAACTTTAGACTACTGTATACTTGTATTTTTATTGTCACTGCAGAGTCGTAGAATCACAGAATGGTTTCAGTACCGAAGGAAGTCACTCAGACCATCCTATCCATTCCAGCTTTCTGCAAGAACAGCCCTTGTTGCCACTTTCTACCTCCTCTCTTTAGCCATGCAAATTTTGTTCTTTTCAGGTAATTACCCAATTTTCTTTCAAAAGCCATCATTGATTCTGGGTCCACTATTCACCGGGTACTGCATTCCGGATCCCAACCACTCACTGTGTAAGAAGATGTATTGCTTGAGATGCCTTTGGTTCTTCTGCCAATCACTTTAAATCAATGTCCTCTGGTACTTGGACTCTTCTGCTAATGGGGATGGTTTCTCCTTATTTTTCCTATTCAGATTATGATTTTTAAGACCTCACAGAATCATAGAATTGTTACAGTGTAGAAGGAAATCATTTGGCACATTGTGCCTGCATCAGTTCTATTGCATAGCGCCTTTTTCCCATATTCTTCCACGCCATTTCTATCCAAATTATCATCCAACACCCTATTGAATGCCTCAATTGAACCTGCCTCCATCACATTTCCAATTGCTCAGTCCAGACTCTAACTACTCGCTCTGTGAAAAAACTTTCATTTGCACATCACTTTAAATCTATGTCCTTTTGTTCTTAGAATCATAGTCATAGAGATGTACAGCATGGAAACAGACCCTTCAGTCCAACTCTTCCATGACGACTGATTATTCTAAATTAATCTAGTCCCATTTGCCAATATTTTGCCCATATCCCTCCAAACCCTTCCTATTTACATACCCATCCAGATGCCTTTTAAAAGTACCCACTTCCACCCCCTCTGGCAGCTAATTCCATACACATACCATACACGCACTTAAACCCGTGCCCTCTAGTTTTGGACTCTCCTACCCTGGGGAAAAGGCATTGACTATTTACCCAAGCTGTGCACCTTATGATTTTCTAAGCTTCTATAAGGTCATCCCTGAGGCTCCGACACTCCACAGAAAATAGCCCCAGCCACTTCAGCCTGTATGGCTCAAACCCTCCAACCTCTTGTTACTTTTACAGACAGAAACAGCTTTTTCCTATCTACTCTGTCAAGCCTACTCATAATTTTGAAAACCTCTAACAAATCTCCTTTCAGCCTTTTTCGCTCCAAGGAGAATAGTCCCAACTTCTTCAATGTATTCTCATAACTGAAGTTTCTCATTGTTGGAATCTTGCTTATAAATCACTTTTGCACACTCTCCAATGCATTCATATATTTCTTAGTGTAGTGGCTGAGATTTAACAAGTGTCTCATACAAGTTCAGCATCACTTCCTTGCTCTTCTACCCCATGCTCTGAATAATAATGCCAGGAACATTGTATGCTCAATTAACTGTTCCCTCCACCTTGAATGATCTGTACACATATACACCCAGATCCCTCTTCTCCTGCACCTCCTTTAGAATTGTGCTCCCTATTTTGTATTGTCTTTCAATGTTCTTCTGACCAAAGTGCATTGCCTCACACTTCTCTGCATTGAACCTCTACTGCCATGTATCCGTCCACTCCATCACCTCGTCAATGTCTTTTTGGAATTCCACACTGTCCTCCCCACAATTAACAATTTATAAATGTTAACAAATTTTAATTTATCCAAATTTCTAATAGTAGCCCCACACGGGAAACTGATAAAGAAGGTAAAAGCACATGGGATCCAGGCAAATTGGTTCCAAAACTGGATTAATAGCAAGAGACAATACAGTGAGTATAGCCAATGTTCATATGTCAAGTCTTTAAAATTACACAGAAATTGCTGGAAAAGCTCATCTGTGAAGGAAAAAACAGAGTTAACGTTTCGGGACCAGTGACCCTTCCTCAGAACTGATGGTGGCTGGGAAAATGTCAGTTTAAATGCAGAAAAAGGGGAGGGGGAAGGGGTAGGGAGTAAATGATAGGATAGAGCCCAAAGAGAGAGAAGAGCAGTTGGATAGACAAAGAGTTGATAATGATCAGGCTGGGAGAGTGAATAGTTGTTAATGGGGACTATTAGTGACTAATAACAGGTAGTGTGTAATGACAGGCTATGTGGTAACAGGACCTGGTGTGTGGGGTAGGAGGCTAGGACATGAGAGAGTTTAGGCCCTAAAATTATTGAACTCAGTATTGAGTCCGGAAGGCTGCAGGGTCCCCAAGTAGAAAATGAGGTGTTGTTCTTCTAGCTTGCTGTGAGCTTCACTAGAACACTGCAGCAAGCCAGAGACAGACATGTTGGTCAGGAACATGGTGGTGCATTGAAGTGGCAGGCAACATGTAGTTCAGGGTCTTTTTTGCGAGCAGACGTAGATGTTCTGCGAAGCCGTCACCTCGTCTACCATTAGGGAAACAAAGCGTAGACTAGGTGACCGCTTCGCAGAACATCTACATGGTTTACATGAACATCTACATCGACAACATCTACATCTTCCTGATTTACAGCATCTGCAGTTCTTTCATTTTTTCTTTAAAATTACACCCCTGAATCAAATTGCGTTCGTAAATACAAGCATTTGTAAGTTGGACGTTTGTAAATCAGGGACACCCTGTAAATGAGAATGTGGAAGGGATGATAAGTAAGTTTACAGATAACACAAAGATCGGCCAGGTGGTTGACAGTAAGGAAGAAGGTCTTAGGTTACAGGAGGATATAAACTGATTGGTCAGATGGGCAGATCAGTGTTAGATGGAATTTACGATGAATAAGTGAGAGGTGATATACTTTGGAAGAAGTAACAAGGCAAGGGAGGACTCATTTAATGGTAAGACACCAGAAAGCTCAGTGGAACAGAGGGATACTTGTCCACAAATCCCTGAAGATGGTATAACTGGTTAATATGGTAGTTAAGAAGGCATATGGGACCCTCGCCTTTATTAGTTGTGGCATAGACTATAACAGCAGGGAGGTTATATCATGTTGGAGCTATACAGAACTTTGGCTAGGTCACACCTGGAATACTGTGTTCTGTTCTGGTCACCACATCTACAACATAACTCAAGATTCTCATCCCTGGAACCAATTCAGTGAACCTTTGCTGCATTCATTGCTTTGACATCCTTCCTAAAATATGATGCCAGGATTGGAAAGATACTTTAGTTGAGACCAAACCAGTATTTTACAATGTCCTGCCATAATTTTCTTGCTTTCACTGTCATGGTATCTACATTAGATTTCAGCATTTCACTGCCTTTTTCTCGTGGGCAATCAGGGATAGGTAACAAAAGCTGATTCTGCGAGTAATTTCCTCATCCCATGAAATAATAAAAGAAACCATTCCATACTTCTACAAACCTTTGGCAGATGCCTAATGTGCAAACTGAGGAAAAGCTAGCATATGATGACAGTCAGAAAACAAAGTTACAAAATATGTCAATGAAAATCACCAAAATGGACTCTCAGGGCTCAATCTTATGTTATTTTGGACAATTCAGAGTTGGGTTGAGTTCTTTGGTGGACTTTGCCACATGGCTAAGGAACATTTCTTGCCGTACCTTCCCAAACTTGCCTCATTTACTATCTATTCCACCCTACAGTATCTCTGAACCGATTCCAGCCCCATCTTACTAAATGCCTTTACCAAAACAACTTCCAGCTGTTTCAAAAAATAACTAATGTAGTTAATAGTGTAAAAATAACTAGATATTGTTTAGTGATGTTGATTGAGGGATAAATATTATCCAGGAGGAACACCCTGTCCCTTCTTTAAAGTAATGCCATGGAGGTGGCTTTTATATCTACTTGAACAGGCAGGTGCGACCTCTGTTTAATATTAAGGAAATGAGAAAGAAAACAGCTACCCTCGAGGGTTTGTAGTACAGTGGTAGTGTACCTACCTCTGGGTTAGGAGGCTTGGATTCAAATCTGATCTGCTCCAGAGGTGTGTCACGGGCGGCACGGTGGCTAGCACTGCTGCCTCACAGCACCAGGGACCTGGGTTCGATTCCAGCCTCGGGCGACTGTCTGTGTGGAGTTTGCACTTTCTCCCCATGTTTGCATGGGTTTCCTTCGGGTGTTCCAGTTTCCTCCCACAGTCCAAAGATGTGCAGGGTAGGTGGATTGGCCATGCTAAATTGCCCATAGTGCCCAAGGATGTTTAGGTTAGGTGGGTTAGACATGGGAATTCAGGTGCAGGATAATGGGCCTGGGTGGGATGCTCTTCGGAGAGGCATTGTGGACTTGTTGGGCTGAATGGCCTGTTTCCACACTGTAGGGATTCTATTAAGGGGTAGTAGGAAGTGCCGATGCTGGAGTCTGATATAACAAGGTGTAGAGCTGGGTGAATACAGCAGGCCAGGCAGCATCAGAGGAGCAGGAAAGCTGACGTTTCAGGTCTGGATCCTTCTTCAGAAG